ATTCTCCTCTCAAGATTTTGGGCCTGCACCCATACACGCCCAGTGTGAGTTTTAAGCCATCAGGTTCAGGACTTGAACCATGGCTGGCCATTGTGGGAGTCCAGTGACATAACCACTATGCCACCTGCTGGTCCCTTTTTTTTATAAGAGATATTTTGGCTATAGGGCACGTGCACTTGCAGAGACAGAGAGAGTGAAAGAACAATCATCCCCGAGGGGCACAGCCACGCCACAGTCCCTTCTCTTCCATTCTCCTCTCAGGATTTTGGGCACAGACACACACATATGCCTGGCATGCGTATCAAGCCACAGGGTCTGGAACTTGAACCATGGTCAGTCACGTGGGGATCCAATGCCTTAACCGCCAGGCCACCTGCTGGCCACGAAAGCCTTCTTTACCTCCAGGACGTTCATGTGTCCCATCTGTGTGTAGTAACATCGCGATGGGCATCCCTACATTTTTTGACCTTCCAGCCACAACCACATTCTTCCCTAGTGTTGGAATGCCTGTGAAAAGAAATATATTAAATTCGTTTTGAGATTCAATGTAAAATACAAACATGAAAATATGTATGCTATCAGAGGACTACTTTTATTTCAAAATATTCTTTCAATAATATTTTGTGATAAATTTTCTTTCCGAGTGTTTCATCCATAATTTAAACTTGGAATTTTGTTTCCTTGTTAAATGAAGTTTTCACTTTTCCTTTAAAAAAATTTCTGCTCAGAATCTTTTTTTTAAGAGTTTTCTCTAAAGAATTATTTTATTTAACTTTATTCATTTATTTATTTAAATCTGACCAGAGAGGGGCAGAGTGAGAGAGAGAAAGTTGAGAAAGCAAGCCACCACAGGGCTGGCAGGTGGCGTGGTGATTAAGGGTGCTGGATTCCCACATGGCCAACTGCATGGCGGCTTGATTTCTCACTTTCTCTCTCTCTCTCTGGTCAAATTAAAATAAATAAAGTTAAATAAAATAATTTTTAAAAAGAAAGTAAGCTGCCAGGTCCGGGACTCAAACTGTGGTCAACCATGTGGGAGACCAGCGCCCTTAACCACCACATCACCTGCCGGGCCCTCTGCTCAGAATCTTAAATAAAGAAACTGGCTCTCTATACATTTGCATTTATAAGTAGTGCCAGACTCTTAGAATAAGTATCAAAGGCAAAGGAAATCAGAAGGCCTACATGTGAATCCAACTTTGATCATGAAGTCACGGAGCTGCTATGTCATTGGCTAGCTGG